TACTGGAATCTGGCATTAAACAGTCAGATTCCTGATCTTGTTTGCTTCCTTCTTTGATCAGAAAGTCCCTGACTTAAACCATTTTTTGTTTTCCTCATTAGCCAGGATGAACCAGCAGCTGCAGAGGAAGCGATGACCACATGTAAAAGCTGACGTCAGTGGTACAAACAGATAAATCTGAAGCAGCTGCAGACAGGAGGAGATGTCAGCCTTGTTGTGTGGCGTTGTTGAGAGAGAGAGATGTCAGATCAAATCTGTACCAGCTCAGCGGCCAGCTCCCATCGAGAGGCCCTTCAACAACAACATCCAACCCCTCTCCACCCCAAACCCTCTCCAGCTCTCCTCCTCGACCACCCCTGTGGCAGATCTGCTCAGCGGACGACAGTTTGAGCCCGAGGTTGTTCTGTGGATATGACAGCGCTCACGGAAACCTTCCCCGGACAAATGGAGGAACCATTTCTCTCAAAGCAAAAAAAACTACAAAATCATCAATATGACAAAAAATACAGGACATATTTGTGATTTATGTCATTATTTGCCCATAAAAGATTTGAATTATGCTGCATGAGTGGATCAGCTGTCCTGTGGGGCGAGGAGATGCAGCGTTTTCATTTTTTAAGGAATTTCGTCACAGTTTGACTCATCTTTGCTTCCGTAAACAGAACATAGGTATCCGGTCCCTGCTGGTGTTGTACACCGCCGCCCCCCCCCACCAGCAGTGGAGGGAGGGCAGAGGTGAGTCAGAGGCCTCAGACTCACACTGCAGGGCCACATTCTTCCTCTCAGACCCTGGGTCTGTTTACTTACACTGACTCACTCAACAACAAGCTCCACAACAACTCAAAGCAGCCAAACAAGAGAAGCTGCTGCCGCCACCGCCACCGCCGGGGGTCACAGCACTCACCCCCCCATCAGCTGACTCATCCAGGTTCTGGGTCCATTCAGGTTTTTAGATTTGTTGGTTTTTATGGTCTTTTTATGGGGAACGAGCTGCGATTAATCAATACTGTAAATGATCTCTGCTTCAGAAGTCTGTTCCGGGTTGATTGCTCATCGGTCTGTATCGATCTGTGGTGGGGAAGTAACACTGGAAGCAGTTTGACTGATCTGATAATAAATTAACTTGCCAATTAATCAAATAAATGCAGCAAATACACCGTATCAGTATACGAGGGGGGTCTTTGATGGTTTTCAGACCAGGACCCCCTGTAGCTGATAAAGAGACGGAGCAAAGACCCTCCAGTACGTATATATTGTACAAACTGTGTCATATTAACCCTACTATAAAGTTCACAATATCTTTTGTATGTTGGACTCATGCTCATATATTTTACATTTTGGGGAATCTTGATCTGCAGGAACTCTGAGGACACCCTAACCCCCTGCATATATCAATGTTTTGGACTGTTGTTCAGACAAAATAAGCAATTTAAAGAGACTCCACCTTCAGTCGGCCCTGGGAGATGACACATTTTCAGTTTTCTGACATTTAATAGACTAAATAAAATAAAAATAAGTTGCAGCTCCAGTTAAGGTCTTGGTCAATTAAGACGTTTGAATCAGTCGGTTGTACTTAAACAATGGTCACATCACTGGCTCAGAAACATACCTGTACATTTGAAAAAGTACATTTGACCCAATCCTCTGAACGTACTGATCTGAAAACCGACAATAACACTGGAGGGAGATTTTCAAAGTAAATCAACTCGTTTATCAATTGACTTTCTAGTGAGGACAGCTGTGCTGTGACAAATCAATGAGCCCTTAAAGTGATTATTCAACTGACAGAAAACTAATCGGAAGCCATTTTAGGCGAGTTTGAGTCATGTTTCTATAAACATTCTCTACTGCAGCTTCTCAAATGTGAAGATTGAATATTAGATTTGGGTTTTGCACTGTTGGACACTCAAAACAAGACACAGCTGTCACCTCAGGGCTCATCTAAGGCAATTTTATGATATTGATTTAAAAACAGAGTGATTAATGAGGACAATAAAAAGGAATCATTAGTCGTAGCTCCAATTAAGGTTTTGATCAATTAAGTCATTAAAATTGACGGCTTGTTTTTATGGATTTTTTGGGGTAATACGCTGTAACTCTAATTAAACACTATACACGATCTGTGATCAGACATTAATACTGGAAACAAATTTTTCACTTAAATCAAGTGGACCAAAGAACCAAAATGACCAAAACTAAACCACCAACACACACAATCCATCATCCATAACTTCCTCTAAAGAACTCTTTACTTTAAAGGGTGTAAGAAAACGTAAAGAATATACACAGGAGGCCTATATCTTACCCTTTTTTCATTTCTGTGAAGAAAACTTAATTAAATTGTTATTTTTAAAGATTAGATTATTATTTAAGATCTCTGAAGATCTGAACACAAGCTTTATATTCACTCTCTGGTAAACGGTCCTGCTTTAGAGAAGTTAAAACAACCAAAGAGGTAAGACACGTTTGTCATAAAAATAGAAAAAATACAAAATACAGAAAGAGAATTGTATACAAAGTCTTTAAAAATATCCAAATCACTCATTTTACACAAACCCCCTGCAGATATTGTGTTCACTGTTTATCAGCTGTTCTCTGTTATTATTATTATTATTAATAATATAATCTGAAATATCTATAAAATACAGTCAGTTTTACCCGCTGATAGAGAAAAGCAGCCCCCTTAAGGTGCAGAGGTTTGGAACCAGTAAAGGTCACTATAGAGTAAATATAGTGAATTTAAGGAGCATTAAGGGCTGATCTGAGAGCTGCTGTAGCGCAGATTGGCCCCCGGCAGTCAGGGAGCGGTCACCAACAGATGACAGTAATCATTTAAACCTCCTCCTCCTCCTCCTCGCCCCTGCAGCAGTCACCTGAACCGGGCCCTCACCGTCCAGCTGCTCGGCTCCCCGGCAGTTGCTGCAGATGTGTTTGATCTCCTTCCCGATGTGGCAGTGGATCATGAACCACGTTGTTGTTGTTGTTGGCGGCGGGCGGACGCTGCTGCTGGCCGCCGGAGCCGCTGCGGGACTTCATCCTGGCCAGGCACAAAGCTCTGCTCCTCTTCCTCGGTTTCTGCTGCTGCTCCCCCCCGGGAACCGACGCGGATAACGGGGAGTCGGTGGCAGAGCCGGACCCGGACCATGAACGCATCACGTCGCCTCCAAAGCCCGCCATGTTCGCGCTGTGGACTGCAGGGACCCTCTCGCCCTCTGCTCTGGTGGAGGAGGTGCAGAGGGGGGGTTCAACTGGTTTGCAGCTCTGTCCACTACTCACAAGTCAGCCATAATAAGGGACACAGTTCCGGTCACATCTTACAAAATAAAAGCACACTGAGAGCGCTTTTAAAGAGCCGCAAACAAGCTGGAAGATGACTGGAACTGTCATACAGTAGTCCATGTTTAAGCAGAAATGTCTTGTACGTTTCTAATTTGCTCGTCCACAATGTGTTTAACTGTCTGCATATGTGTTAATGCATGGCAGCGGATACAAATATCTGTTATAAGAAGTCATAGTTCAGTAAAAGAGAATAAAATTGAGTCTTTCGTGTCCACAAAGGTTGAAAATAGTTTTTAGGTAACTTTCTTGCAAACATGCAACTAGAAATAATAGGAATATATAAATTCATCTGACTAAAGGACTGACCACAGTTGAATCTACCATCTGCATATCAATGAGCCTTTACATGTGCAAAGAGAAGAAAATAACATTAGTCGGTGTGAATATAAACATAAATGCAGCAGCACATATAATTACTATTATTGGAATATTTTAATTATTTAATTTCATACATAACAAAACCTCAGTGTGGCACAGACAGAAGGTCAGCAAGTTCAGTATTGTGCACGAGGTTATCCATTAAAAGATTCATTCTTTTAAACTGATAGGAGCATAAACCTGGTTGCTGCTCTGAGGACTCCTGTTGTGATGTGTTATAGTTTGAAAGGAGAAAGAATTTGGTTGACAAACAGCAGAAAATGTCCACTGAGCAGAGCTGCAAAGCAAACTGAACTGTTACAAGGTAAGATTAAACACCACAGAGAACTTTAACAGCCACTGACTTTGTGAGACATTTTGAGGATATTAATTAATTAGTAATGAGTATTCGTATAAGTAAGTAACTTAAAACTGTGCACATTAGGATTTTTCATTATTTTTACACCAAAATTAATCACAAATTCAACATTTTTATCTCCACTTTTAAAAATACAACATAAAATGTACTTTGCAATAAAAGCACACAATTTAAATTATTACGTGTAGCACTTCAGTTTATTGTCAATAAAATATATATTCGCAAACTTGGTTGATCTTATCTTGAAAACTCTATAATCTACTCTGGGTAGGCTATTTGTGACTTCTTGTGTACAAATAAATACGTTTTGGTTGTTTTTTTGCTCCTTTGTTTTATTTTGAAGTCTTGCTCGGCTTCCGGTGTTAGTCTCTCTACTCTGACGCGGCTCACAGATTCAGCCAATCCTGGCCCGCGGTTGCGTGTTAGCCTCGCGGTGGCAGCCAATCAGGTTGAAGCACCGGGAGATTCAGATTTTAGAAGGATTTTAAATCTGAGGTTAAAAACTACAAATGACACCAAACCACAGCCTGAGGAGAGAGAGACAGCTGCACAAATACGTTTACATACAGAAATAAAGTTTTACAATGACCTTTTATTTTTATTTCTATGTGTTTGAAGGAAAAAACTGATATATTTTTATTCATTTGATTCTTTTTATTATCATTTTTTTTTTATCCTGAAGCTTATTTAATGAATTGTGCAATAACAACAATAATAATCATTATTATTACTAACAAATCTCCTACATGGACGTTGTATTACATTCTTAATTCTCATCATTTTAAGTCCCATCATTATTTATTGTGTAAACCAGCTTGATCCTTTATTTGTTTTTGTTTAATCTTTATTTGCTGAGTGCAAAGCTCTCTTTTCTAGGAACGCCCTTTACATAGTTACACACCTAGAAGCCAGGGGGTTAAGGGTTTTGCTCAAGGGCACCTCAGTGGTGGTATCTACCTTTAACTTTCCCCACCCAGATTTATCCTGCCGGTCCAGGGGATTGAACCGACAACCTTCCGGTCACTAGCTTGCCACTGCCCCTTACTATGCAGAATGAATCCAAAGAAAATGAGAAAAGTGCTTCATGTAAATAAATAAAAACAAAGTTATAAAACAAAGACACAGTTTTTAAAGGATTTTAGAAAGGTTGGCATAGATTGCACTCAGACTCATAGGGGGTTAAAAGCTCAGTAAGATAACCAGGTGAAAGCCTGTAGGGAGTCTGAAAGTAATCAACAGGATCTTAAAATCAATCCTGAACTCTGCTGGAACCAATAGAGAGAAGCCAAGATAAGAGAAATACACTGCCACCTCCAAACTGTCCGACATCTGTGTGTACCAGCCTTCCTAATCCATTACATCACAGAAAACATTTACATTAACATTTAGTAAAAATGGGGATTATTACCAGGATTACAATTTTAAATGCATACACGCGTAGTGTGCACACATTACTACACTCCATGAATCTCACACCAGCACTCTGTTCTCAGTGAAACCACAGCTAATCGTTCAGCTGCCGGTCCGTTATCATGGCCTCAGTGGGGGAAAATTTCACCATTATTTTATCTTTAAAGCAGAAAAGGGAACAACGTCACAGTACAGAGCAAGTTCTGTCCTCCAGCTGAGACAAAGGTCTTTCAGTTTACAGGACATTTTGATGTTAAAAATCTTGGTTTCCATTTTCTTTATACTGTTCTGTCTGTCTTATAGAATACATCTTACCGATATTTATTTTCTCTTGTCTTTATTTACATATTTAGTGTTCCAAAAGTTATGGAAAGTCATATTTTACGTTACTTTAATTTTGTGGATTAGGTTACTGAATACATTATTTAGGAAGGTAATAATTAACTGTAACCCTGATGTGTACTCACCATAATCTGTTAATGTAAAAACACAAATAGCAATAAATGGCCTGTACTTATATAGTGCCTTTCACACTACACGAGAAAGAGAAAAAGAAAATAGAGAAAGACAACGGTGAAAAATACTTAATACAATTGATTGTTTTTTTACTAATTAATGCATTTTTTTCTTACATTCTTCTTTTGGATTTACTAAGGAATAACAGTGCTTAAATGTCTGTAACGTTTCTACTGCATCTCATATTGTCTGCTAAATTTAAAACACTACAAAAGTAAAAAAAAAAAAAGGCAAGGAGTACAGCTCCAACATTGTTGAGAGATAAAAGGAAGTCAAATTTGGAAAGTCTTTAAAAAAACCTGCTTGTGAGAGACACCTTGTTTTCTGCGGAGGCCAATGAAGGGTCACAGCTTGTCGTTACAAACCCCCGCCACCAGGTGGAGCTCACACTCAAGCAATGCTGATGAAATTAATTTGTCTCTGTCTCAAAACAGTGACAGACTCTGAGCTGCAGGGTGCAGACTGGTTAGGAGGAGCCAGCTTCTGGTTACCTCCCTCACACAACACTGAGCTGCACAGGCACACAAAGCCAATCGTCCGAGGCTGTTTTTGTCATCCTATCACTCATGTACATGTGTGTTTATGTTCATGTCTTTTATGTAACACTACAAATCCAAAGCGTACGCTGCGTCTTCCCTGCTGCAGACGATGACTCATGAAGGCTTTCAGATTCAGAGTACGAAGATGTGTATCACAAGATGAAAGGGGAACAGTTTAGTGAACACGCCTCGTGTCTGGAGCGAGTCCTCCTCCTTTAATAAAGTATCAGGCCTCCAGTAGGAGATTTGCTTACAATTGCTTTATGAAGGAGGCAGTTCATCTCACAGTAGAGTTGAAATTGATGAGCAAACAAGCACCAAGTGAGGCGAACAATCTTTGCTCCTTATCTCAAGGAGCACACAGGTTTCGTTGGGTTGTATTCTGAGAGCCGGATTTCAACCTCTCCTTGACAGTTGTTGTTCTCTCTAATGAGAAGGAGATGTGAGATTAAAGCACAGCTGCTGTGAATCAATAAATCCATAGTCTCGCTCTCTCACACACCTACCAGACCTGCAGTTTGTCTCCTGTGACTGCGAGCCAGGCTGCTGCGACTGCAGGTATGATTCACATTGCATACTGTAAAGAAGTGACACAGGAGAGCATTGATTGGTCCACGCTTAACTTACAGGAAGATATCTTAGGTAAGCACATTTCACTAATGCTATTGTGTTTTTACTTCTTTTTTAGCATCAGTTGTACATTTTTTTTAGTCGGTCAGTCCACTGAAATATCTAAACAACTACTGGATGGATTGCCATTAAAGGTCCAGTGTATAGGACCACTGGCGTCTGTATTTTACAACCTGGGAATGTAAACGGGCTGTGAAGTGTTCAGGGGAAACTGTGGTGGCTGTGAAACTCGGCCAGTGTTTGGTTTGTTTGTTCTGGGCTAATGTAGAAACATGATGGTTCGTGTGCTTCACAGAAGACGACCCGCAGTGCCTGTAGATAAGAAATCATTCTACCATAACCAAAACACAGTAATTCTTACTGTCAGGTGATATATATACAATAATGAAAACATACATATGAACTGTATCTGTTATACATTTAAAATCTACAAGCTCAAGTTGAAATAACCTGGATGGCTATTTCAGCTATTCAGACTTGACTTGACATCATGCAACAATTAGTGCTCCTCACGATGAGCAAACATTATGTTTAAAATCACTGGAAAGGTCAACATTCAGGAGGATCTATTGGCAGAAATGGAATATAATATTCATCGGTTTGTTTTCATTAGTGTATCATCACATGAAAATAAGAATTGTTGTGTTTTTGTTACCTTAGAATTAACCGTTTGTATCTACAGAGAGTCCACCATATTGAACCTCCATGTTTCTACAGTAGCCCAGAACGGACAAACCAAACACTGGCTCTTGATAGCGCCTGTCATGTTTTTAGCAAGTTTCACAGCCACCATAGTTTCTCCTACACACTTGGTTGATGCGAACGGTATTCAGTTGGTCGCACCGTACACACTGGTCCTTTAATCAGCAAAGTAACTAATGACTATAACTGTCAAAAGATTATTATAAAAACTGCAACATGTTTTTCTTAAATGTATAAAG